CTCTCGTGTTCAGCCCCTGTCTCATCTGTGTCTAATGTTACTCACCGCAGGTGTCTTTCGTTGTTCTAATCAGTGTTGTGTATTTATTCAGTTCCCTGGTGTCTTGTCTTTGTCTCGGGACTGTCCTCACTGTGTGTTTCTGCTTTCCGTCCTGTATCCAGTTTTCTTGTGAGTACGCTGCCCCATCAGCTTCTGCTTTTGTTTTTTGTAAAATAAATATTTAGATTTTTTTCCACGAGCCTCCTATCGTTCTCCTGCACTTGGGTTCAACACTTTGTATGGCAGAACCAGACACATTATGCCAGAAATCTACAAGATAAGAACACTTTTATTGAGTTCCTTAAGCATAAGGCTCAGCACATCAATTTCTCTACCGAGCACCCTATGTTACTACGTCTCGATAACAACGAGGCTCACATTTCTCTAAAAGCACTGAAATCGGCAAAGAGTAACAAGATTGTTGTGTCCAAGATTCCACCTCACACATCCTATTGCTCACAGCCTTTGGATAAGAGTGTGTATGGTTCATTCAAGAGTTATTATAACAGAGATCTGGTTGGATGAGATGAGATAGTTGGGTGAGATCTAACCCAGTCCAAACAGACAGCACATACCACCAGATTGCCAGATACATTAATGAGGCTTATAAGTCAGTAATGACACCATAGAATATCTCTTCTGGATTCAGGTTCACATAAATATTTCCTTTCAACAGAGATATTTTAGCTGATGATGAGTTTGGACCATCCATGGTGAATGACAGGCCAGTCTCTGAGCTGTTGTCTGCCTCTGAAGATGATCCACCTTCAGAGTCCACCTCTGCTGAAATGTCTTCACAAGGATGTTCTTCAACATGCAGAGCAGAGCCACTTGCCCACTCCCATGGATACGTGTCTCCTCCTGAAATTCTTCACTTTCCCAAAAACCAGAAGCCCAGGGCAAAGCAAAGACAGTGGGTGAAGACAAGAATCCTGACTGACACACCTGAAAAGAATGCAGTTGTAGTAGCACAGGCAAAAACAAGACAATGCAAGAGGAAAGAAGTGTCCAATGTCTAAGAACCAGCAAAGTCACAGGCACAAACAAAATGAAAATTCCAGTAAACAGCAGCTCTGAGGAGAGTCATGTTCCCATCTTACTTGACTTCATTTTTTTTGGATGATTGTTTCCTCTGGTATCAGATGCTGTTTAGCTGGAAGAATTTTTACAGAATTTTTTTTTTTATTTTTAAAAAATTTTGTTTTGGACATTTGTTACGATGCGTAACCATGGCAACAAGGCAGTTTTCTACAGCCAACAGCAGCTGATTAACATCTCAAAAGCTCAAATAATATCTCAACTACAGCCCCAAATCTCAAATGAGTTGAAAAGGATGTTCTGTGGATGCATTCTCATCTACCTGCCGACTGTGCTCGAGTGCCTGACCACTGAGATCCTGGAACTAGCAGGAAACATGGCTCATGACAGCGGAAAGACAGGATTGTCCCTCGGCACCTACAGTTGGCTGTCCGCAGTGACGAGGAGCTTGGCAGACTGCTGGGAGGAGTGGCCATCGCTCTGGGAGGAGTGGCCATCGCTCTGGGAGGAGTTCTTCCCGGAATTTGGGCGATCCTACAGCCCGGGGGAACCGAGAGGCTAGCTGAGTCTGGGTGGACGGATTGGACGCAGCTGCGGCCAGTTTCTTCAGATCTGCTGTGGGACGGACCTTTACAAGAGATCCTTCCTGCCTATAGCCATCAGTATCTATAACATCTCTTAATCTCTTAATTAGTTCTTGTCCTAATTAACATGTCCCTGTCATCAGGCTGTGTTCCAGCTACTTTTAACCACACAGTGCGAGGATCCAGCCCATTCTGAACCCACAGACCCAGACACACTATCACCACCTTCATGCTCAGCTCCTCTTTCTTGGCTTGGTCCTGGACCTGAACCACCTCGCCGCCCACGTCGGAGAGGTCGATGACAGAAGGGTTCCAGAGACTCAGTCCCAGAGCCTGCAGCCAGCCCAGAGCCTACAGCAGCCAGCCCAGAGCCTGCAGAAGCCAGCCCAGAGCCTGCAGCAGCCAGCCCAGAGCCTGCAGCAGCCA